AGAGAGACCTAGAAGAAGTTTTAGCTATGAGAGTTTGAGGCATGGTGTGAAGTAGGGATTTAGTATTTACATACTTGCTTGGCTTGGAACCCTAAAGCCCTTTCAACCACACATGACTCAAGCATGTGTTAAATTCAAGCATAAAAATCATTAACTCAGAGATTTAAACATTCATTAAAATTAAGCTTAAAATTAAGCTGTTCGCTGAAAAATATTCCTGGAGGAAGTACAAGAAGCAAAAAGAGTTATTATCTCGTTACCTATGGAAGTCATGCCAACTCTAACCTGAAAAATGATAACTTCTATACTTAAAAATTATTTAGTTTAGAAACTGAAAATTAAAATTTTATTAACAACATATGATTGCAATGTATAAACACAAACCTACACAAAGTTTTGGCTTAGATTCAGACTGTGGAGACATTATTTGAGCCTCTTTTAGATCCTCCAAAGCTTTCCAACACAAGAGAGCCACTAGAGAATGAAGGTTCAGTTTGCACATCAGCCGTTTTGTGTGGAACTCTTAAGGTGTTTCAACTTTCAAGTACACTTGAATTGACCTTCATTACAGTGAAATACTTGCTTCCATTATTATTATTATTATTATTATTATTATTATTATTATTATGTAAGGGAAATAAAATAGATGAACAGAGTTGAACAAAGGGATAAAAAATGATCAATTGATTAAAAGGAAAGTAAAATAAAAATTTGAGATCTAAAAGCAGGATTTTGGTTACAAAAACAGACCTTAAACATGAAAGAATGTGTGTCCGTGCAATCCCTTGTTTTTTCTCCTCATTGTGTCTTTATATGAGAAAGCTTTCCAGAGAACATCCATTAGAATAGTATTTGGAGAAGGCTTGTTTATTTCTTCAACTGCTCAACCTGATTATTCAATGAACAAATCTGATCAACAAGTAGAAGTTTGAAATTAAAAAAAAAAAAAGAGAAAAAAAAGGAGAGTTATTTTCTTCAAATTTATTGGAATCCTAACTCCGTTTTCAGAGACAAAGAAAACAAGGAGTTTGCAGTTATGGTATTAAATGGAGGGATTAACGTATGACAAATTAAACATACCTACTCTTCCAAACCTCGTGCTCATCCCTATTCCCCATCTATTATGATTTCGGGAATGTGAGAAATCTTGGACCATTCGGCTCCTCTATCTCTGGTGCATCTTTCCTTTAATTTGGGACATTCATTTATAAAAAGAAATCGTAAATCGGAGAGGTGTTGCATGGCTTCAATAGGAGGCATACTCATCAAATTACGACAATTTCTAATCCTCAGTTGTATAAGAGAAGTGAGGTTTCCTAACCAGTTTGGTAGAACTTCCACTCCGTTGAATTCTTTTATAGTCAATGACTTGAGGGCAGTGAGATGCTGAAGCTGATCTGGCAAAAACTCTACTTTTTCCCATCCTTTCAATTCTAAATATTTTAAGGAAGCATTAAGTAGATGGATGCAATCAAGTCCTGGGAGCTCCTCCAACTCTGAGGAGAAAGGACCCATCCATAACTCAGAAAGGGATTTTAGGGCTTTGAGTGGAAACATATGCTTTAGATTTCTACAATAAGAAATGGAAAGTTCTTGAAGAGAAGTGAGGTTTCCTAACCCCTCTGGAAAAGCTTTCACTTCGTTGAATTCTGAAAGACTCAATGCCTCAAGGGAAGTGAGGTTTCCCAACTCCTTTGGCAGAAACTTTACTTTATCCCATCCTCTCAAAGATAAACATTTCAAGGAAGCATGAAGGTGATGGATGCAATTGAAACCTGGGAACTCCTCCAACTCTGAGCTGAAAGGACCTATCTCTAACTCAGAAAGGGATTTTAGGGCTTGCAGTGGAAACAGATGCTTTAGATTTCTGCAATAAGAGATGGAAAGTCGTTGAAGAGAATTGAGGTTTCCCAACCCCTTTGGAAAAACTTCCACTCCATTAAATTCTTTAAGAGCCAATTTTCTCAGAGTAGTGAGAACTTGAAGTTGACATGGCAAAGACTTCAGTTTATCCCATCCCTTTAATGATAAATCTTCAAGGGAGGAGCTCAGTTGATGAATGTAACTGAGTCCTGGGAATTCCTCCAATTCCTTGTAGAAAGGACCCATCCGTAACTTCTTCAAGCTAGTGAGGTTGAAGAGGCATTCCTCTGGAATACTCCTTATATTAATGCAGTTTGAAATGCGCAAATACTGAAGAGAAATACAGTAGCCTAGTTCACTTGGTAGACTTGTTAATGCACCACAAGACCATAGCTCTAAACTTGTAAGAGAAGATGCTATACTCTGAATGGAAGTCAAATCCTTGCAATAAAAAATTCTCAACTTCTGGAGAGAAATGCAGGATCTTAACCCATTTGGCAGACAAGTTAATGTATGACAGCTGCCTATCTCTAAAGTTTTAAGAGATGAGAGCCTATCCAAATTTGGGATAGCCATTAGATTGTCACAGTGGTAGATCTTCAAGGAAGACAACTTATGATGAGATGAAAATCCACCCATCAACCAAGTTTCCAACTTAAGACAACCCTTAATTATCAAACTTTCAAGGGAAGGAAACACAATCTCAACTTTGCCTCGTGCTGCAATATCATCATCATCGACTTCAACCCATTCCTCTAAGATTGCCATGTTTTCTAAGGTGAGTTGTCTCAAAGCTGGGAATAGTTTGATTGATACTACTTCTCCTGGACTATCAAACTTATGACCCATTCTTTTTACATTTTTAAAATTATAAATATAAAGAGACTTGAGACCAGGCAAAAGTCCCAGACTAGGAATGTGTCCACAATTATGCCAATCACCTAATTCCAACTCCACTAGGTTATTGGACAAAAATGTAGCACCACCACTCATTAGCCATAACGGAAAGTTCTTTCCCATGAAATAATTAATGGACAAACCTTTCAAGTTTGAGTGAGGCTGAAAACATTCTAGAACCTCCTCATGGTTGCTGCAGTTTCTTTCCAATTCATTCCATTGTAGTTTCAAATGGTGCAATCTTGTTTTTTCCCCTAGGTTTGCTTTTGTGGCTTCTGATTTTGATCCAATTTGTTCAAGGTTCTGAATCTTCAATTCTCCTCTGAGTTGTGTCAAGCTTCCCAGTTCTTCAATGCCATTCCCCTTCTCTTTACCTACAAAAAATATAGGTAATGTTTGAAGAGAAGTTAGGTGCCCAAGCCCCCTTGGCACATGCTTTTCAATAGAAAAATAAATGTGCCTCAAGCTCACTAGATTGATCATATTATCAGGCATCTGTAGAATAGAAAAGCACCGGTTTAGTCTAAGAGTTTGCAAATGGTAGAGCTTGGAAAGAGATCCTGGTAGTGCTTTAATTTTGCTATTCGAGATGTCAAAGTATCTCAAATGCTTTAGTTCACCAAGAGCAGGACACAACTCTTCCGTCTTAGCTTGCATTAATTTTAAAGATCGCAAACTTTTGAAATCAGATGCCACGTTATTGAAAACATCAGCCTCCTTTTCTATGAACAAAGAACGCAACCTTTGACAAAGATTAGTTGGAATGTATGGAAGTCCACTCCTATCATGCTTGACTCTCAAATGTAGAATAGTAGCCTTTTTGTCAATCTTGCAACCAAACTTCCAGATTAAAGTTTCATCTTTTGAAACTGCCAATGCCAGATCATGCACTACATCGTGCATCTTGCAAGATATGATATCTCCATATTTATTCCTTCTCACATCTTGAAATAAGGAATTAGATAACAAATAGTTAAAGTAAGCATCACCAATTTCTTCCATTGTGCTGGAGCTTTTGTTAGGCTGGTGAAGAAATCCTTGAGCCATCCAAAGCTGAACTAAATCATCCTTTTCAATGAGGAAGTCCTTTGGAAATATTGAACAATAAGAGAAGCATTTTTTCAAAGGTGGAAGCAAATGATCAAAGCCGATTTTCAGTATGGATAAAATCCATTTTCCATCTTTTGAATCCAAATTCCATGCATCATTATCTCTGATAGCCTCCCAGGCACTTTTTTGAATTTCAGAGCTCAATGTTCCACTGATGACAGCTGCTATCAATGGCAAGCCCCCACACTTTTTGGCAATATCTACCTCAATATCTTTCAAATTAGGAGAAATTGATTCTAGTCCCGATAGTTCGAAAACCCTCTTTTCAATTATTGACCAGCACTCATCATTTGATAACTTCTACATTTTATAAATTTGCATAGAATTTCGCATAAGATTCATTTTCCTCATCTCAAGTGCTACCTCTTCATCACGAGTTGTCACCATAATGGAATTCCTCCTTGTCCTCAAAATTCCTGAGAGACGACTGTTGAAAGCAATCCACTTGGATTTATCTTTGTCCCACACGTCATCAAGAATGAGAAGAAAAGTTTTCTTCTCTAATTTTTTTGCAAGATCTTCAACAAGTACATTGATGCTGCTTGGGACTACACCAACCTTTAAATGTTCATACATCTCTCTCACAACTTGTTTGCTCATTGAAGTCTTCAGAGACACACACCCAAACTACTAGATCATAGCGTTCCTTGGCCGTCTCGTATATTGATCTTGCTACTATTGTCTTTCCAAGGCCCCCCATGCCAACTATTGAAACACCAGAGATTGGATGTTTATTCCTCAAGTTATCCAACATGCTAACAATTTCTGAAATATCATCTCCCCTTCCAAAAACTTCTGAACAATCAAGAAGGGAGTCTGTCGGTGTAAATTGCCTAGCAGTTGGATGACATTGCTGGCATGCCTTTAGATTTAGTAGAGAAACGCGCTCTTTTAATCTATCAAAGCGCCCATTGATATCCTTTATTCTGTCACCTATATCAGAACCAATGGTGAAGCTGGGGGTACTGCTTTTCTTTTTCTTATCGCCGTTCTTCTTCCCACCTCGAGGCTTAAGCTGGTACTGAAGATGCTCATAATCGCACTCATCAAGTACATCCTCAGCATCATAAGCTACCTTTTGGAGATCTTGTAGCCAGAGCCTTATAGGGTCATCACTTTCTCTTCCCTGTTTTCCCTCTGCATCTTTAAGTACAGACTGGATCATCTTTAGTGAATCTTCAAGTTTCGTCAGCTCCATTACGGGATCAAAACGTGAACTCGAACTCGAAGCTATCCACCATCCATAGGCACGTGAAATCAATTTGGAAATCAACGTCTCTATAATAGGAGCGAGGATGAGGCTGGTGACAAACTCAGGTATCATGCTTGGACACAAAAAATGATCGTGCTGAGATAGAGGAAAAATAGAATAGTGTTGTGAGAGCCAAGATGAGGAAATGAATTGTAGATGAAGATCCTGTTGGTAAGAACGGGATGTCACCTAAGCACAAGGGGAAACAAAAACAACACCAAAATCTTCTTAAATCTATTTGAAATTGTGAGCAAGCTAAATTGGGTCCAAATAAATTATAGCAGCAGCTAAAAATATGCAGAACAGTAAAAATAACCAAGGCAAAGCAACCAAGAAACATAATATTTTTACGTGAAAAACCTCAAAAATGGGTAAAAACTATAGGGAATCCAGTACACAAAAAGAGCTCCATTACCCTCTTCCAGAAGGGCACAAAAACAGTGCCAAATAAGAGGAACAATAGGCCACAAACCGAACTCCACCATGCAGTCCACTGGTTGGGCCGTTCCTCAATGAGGAGGGAGTGGCGTTCACCCTTGTCTGCAGATCAAATCCCTAGTTTCTAACAAATAATTAACCTAATCTATTAACCATTGTTCTTATCAAAAAAAAAAAAAAAAAAAACCACGAACCAGTAAAAGAAAAAGGAACCACAAGAAAACAGAGCACCAAAACATGAGTTACTATTTAGAACACAAAAACTGAACCTACAGAGTTTTAAACGAAAAACTAACCATTCAAAAGGTAGATGAATGTCTTGTGAACTCCCAGACAAAATTTCAGCCCAATCCAAGTCGGACAAAGTTGCAAAACCATACGCTGTACTAAAATCTGCAGAATTTCTCTCTTGCCTTCTTCCCTTTCTCCCGGCTGGTCCACAACGTGCTCTCCACTTGCTGCTATCCAAATCAGACTCGTTGTCTGAAAAGGCTGCAAAATGTGGCTTCAAGTGTACCTAACAAGTGGGGGTTTAATTCAACAAATATTGACCATTTCTCCAACATAGGAGGAATATGCCTAACCCAACAGATGTACACAAATTTCATTTGAGAACTTGCAGAAAAGCTTAGGTATCAAATTATACTCCCTTTTTTTTTTTGTGTGTGTGATGTTCTTCAAATAATACATGTTACTAATTTTTTTTTTTTAAACTGGTACAAATTTGATAAAGGGAGAATTTAAATTTAGTACCTAAGGCTCGGGTATATCTAGCATTTCAAATTGAGGTATATTTTTTTAAGATTTATAGTTAATTCAATTGGCCTCTTATGTTAGTGCAATACATGTTACTAATTGATTGAATAGATAAAAAGAAAATCATATAGTTAAATAGACTAGTTTGGTTTGAGATAAAACAACAGAGAAGGTAGCCGGATCTTTGGAAGCATAAAGAAATCAGTGGAACGTGAAATAAAGCCAAGAAATGAGTCCTTACCAGATTTCAAATGCTTAGCCGCACGGTAGGATAGCAAACCCAAAGAGAATTAGGAATTGAGGAGAGAACATCCGGCAGAGTCAGCGGAGATGATAAGGAAGTTGTGATGCAGTATTTTGGTCATGTACGCAAAATTTGCATTGACTTTCCTTCCTTGAGCCACTATTCATTGAAAACTCAATGATTGAAGAACTGTAGCAAATTGCAAAAATAATGCGGGATTGGGCCGGCCCTGGTCTGTTTACCAAAAGGGGTCTAAAGGCCTTTGACTTGATGGATCTCTTTTCTTTTTCAGTTTTTCTCTTCATCTTCTTTTAACTAAAACAAGAGTACCCAACTTCCTTATTTAACCCCGTCCAGCCTCTCGCGAAGTTATAACTCATCATTATTATTATTATTATTTTTACCATAAGCTCATAACGGTTATGGATCACTCCTAATCCATCTAATTCGCCAACTACAGTTGCCCAACTTGACCCAACTTGTTTGCCTGGTCCAGCCCATGGCACATTGTTAAATTCACGAAGCTAGCCCTGTTCTCTACTCTGAGGGCATATTTGGTTGCCAGCACTACAAAAGCAATTTTTGAGGAAGCTGCGTGGAAAAACAGCTGAATTTGAGTTTTGAAATATAATTTTTGAGCACAAAAATAATAAAAACAAGTAGTTGATCATAGTTAGGTTTTTTTTTTTTAAATTTGTGTTCTAAAAGTACATGGTGTATTAATTATACACTTTTTTAAATAATTGTTATAAAAATAAAAAATAAAAATTTACTTTAATTTTATCAATTATCTAATTAAAATTACACATATATTATTGTTGTTAAAAATAAATTTTATTTTTTATTTTTTATATAAATTAATAAAAAATAATTAATATACTATTAATATGTACCATTAAATAAATCTATATTTATTTTGTAATGAGTAATAAATGCTTTAAAAGCAATATAACCAACTAAAATAAAAGGCAATTGCTTATTGATCAAGAAAATTTTCCAGATTTTTTTGTCAGAATATGCTTCCCCCCACCCCCACAAAGTCCCTTATGTTGAGTTATGATCAATTATTAACCAAAATATACATTTTATTTCTTTTTGTGATAAATTACTTCTTAATTCCACTCGTTGTATCTACAAATTTGTTTTTAAAAATAATGTTGTATTTGAAATTTAGTGAAGTACTATAACTACAAGTTTTTTAATATTTTAATATGAACAAAGTTATATTATTATTTAATAATTACTTTTAAAAAAATTTATATATTAATATAATCATAAAATTATATAAAATATTAATTAAAATTAATTTAATTATAATAAATTAATACTTTATAAGATACTGTGTAAAAAATACAGTGAGAAAGCAACCCAAACGCAATCTAAGCCAGCTTAAAAGAAATGTGGGCTTCCTGGTCCTGGATATTGCTTCTGGACACAAGTAACAAAGGAGGCCCATACGGTGAATAATTGACCGAAGGAAACTTTTCCACTTCGACTCCTGCTACGTCACAGCCAGCGAAACCTTACCATCAGATTTTCTTTGGCCGTTGCAAATATTGGAATTAGAATCAGATTTTCTCCAACTCTCACGCGCTAAATATCAGAGGTGCTGCAGGTACATTCCAAATTCGATCTTGGTTATTTTTTGAAGGCTTGAAGTGCGCAGATGTTGTTCGATGAAATGCTCATTAGAAGTTTTCAAGGAATCCGGCGTTGTTCTAGTGACTGTTGATCGAATTACTACCCGGACCTCTAATATCGTTGGCAGAACAGAGTGAAGCCCAGGACAGCTGCATCAAGGTTGCTCCAACGCCACTTGAACCACATTGTATTCATCTTGCCGAATCATCATTCTCCGGTTGCGGTTTTTCCATTCGCTCATCTAAGTAGGGATCATCATGCGCTTCCTCTTGGCACGATTGATTTCCTTTACAAAGCTCCTCTGTATTGTGTATATATTTATATTATATAAGTTGTTAATTTTTCTGTTTCCATTATTGAAAAGCTGGAGATTCCTTTACCTTTGTATTTTTTTCATTACATAGATATGGATATACATATAGACACATATAGTTTTCGATTTATTAAGGTAACCTTCATTGCTTGAGTTACATTGCTATATGGACAGGAGAGAGCTTCATTTACTAAATGTCTAAAAATTCTGGTATGAATAGCTCGTGATCTTTTTGAAGTATACGGATCAGAAAAGATGATTCCTTTTAAAAGCTCAAGGGACTTGAAAATCTCGTCCGGCCCATTCAACGCATTTTCCCAAAGGAGATGGATCGGAAAAAACCAGTTGTTTCGGCTCAGGTTCGCTTAGAAACAAGAATGAGATCTCAAACTAGACAAGCTTATGACCCACCTCAACAAACTCAAAACCATTCTTAAAATCCAGCAGCTCATTTCCCACCGAAAACGAGGCCCCTTTGTCTCCATACAACTGATGTCCCATTGGAGAAACATTGTTGGACTTAATGTGGGCATGGGTGTCTTTCTTCACAAGTATCCCCATGTTTTTGAAGTATTTAAGCACCCACTCAGAAAGAATATTTGCTCCAGATTAACCACAAGATATAGGGATTTGATTGATGAGGGAAAAAGGGCTATGAAAGAATATGAATCAAAATTAGTAAGGAGAATAAAGCACGTTGTTAAAATACTGCAATTCCAGAAGCTGGTAGCAAACAGTGAGAAACAGGGTAAAAAATGCAAAACACCAGAATCTGAAACCTGAAATGGAATTAACTTTTATGCTTAAAATTTTGATATAATATTCAGCATGATCAAAATTGTAGATCTATTAAGGGGGCATATGATTGCAAAGACAGACAAACCCAGACAAACTTTCTGGTTTAGGCTTACGTAAGAAAATGCCACTGAAGAAATAAGGGTTCAATATGCACAGCAGACCAAACATTTGTCATGGAAGATATTTCAAGCACAAATTAATTGAACCTGTAACATTACAGACATTTCAAACACATGTTAATCGCACCTACATGTAATTGCTGGATTCATTGTCCATTCATTTAAATTCAAGGAATTGATGAATTTCTGCTGCAAATGTCTGGAACAACTTCAGAACAAAAAGTGTACTTACCAATAGACAAAGCCTATAACAGAAGACACCAATTCACATTTAAATAATATTCTATCAAGATGAAAACATACTTCCTAGTTGCGAACTTCAGCCTTAGTTACAGATTTCAAAATACTAATCAAATAAAAGATCCTATTAGAACTAACTCCATAAAAGTTGTGCAAGAATAAGAAAAGATAGATGTCTATACTGGTAATCTTGCACCTCAAATGCCGCCATCAGTTGAGGACCATATCACTGAAGAATTGCTAAATCTGTTCGTGAGGATCAACAACTTAAAGAGAGGACCACTCGTTGGTTTGGATCTCCAATGAGAAAATAAGCCTCAGTTCTTCAAGATTTTGAATTCAAAGCAGGAGAATTTCCTTGCCCACAATTTTTCCAAGAAAATATATGAACAAATTAGAGCTGAACAAAAAAATAAATTAAAAGAAAAAAAAAATCATACTCAAAATCTAAATGCGGATGGTGGAGAGAAAAAACCTTAAAATAAAATAAAATAAAATAAAAAAATGGAAGCTTTTGGTTATCACCCTTGCTAGGCTTCACTCCATCAAGCTTTACACTCAGTGTGTCCAAGCAATACTCTGTTTCTTTTCCCTTATGCATTGGTTGACTATTATGGTGATGGCTACTGGAGAGTATTTTGATGCTGAAGAATCATGAAGATAACAAAGGACCTGATTTTCAAATAAAAGATAAAAAAAATGTGTCAATAAAGTACTCAATACAAATAAATATAGTGCTATGCAATTGGAAAGGAAAAAAAAAAATAAAAAATAAAGAAAAAATTTTTTTTTTCGAAAGAGAAACACAAGAAGGAATTCGAGGACTCATCTATTAATGAGAAACATGAACAGAGAGTAAGAAGAGAGAGACCTAGAAAAAGTTTTAGCTAAGAGAGTTTCAGCCATGATGTGAAGTAGGGATTTAGTATTTACATACTTGCTTAGCTTGGAACCCTAAAGTCCTTTCAAGCACACATGACTCAAGCATGTGTTAAATTCAAGCATAAAAGATCTTTAACTCAGAGATTCAAACATTCATTAAGATTAAGCTTAAAATTAAGCTGTTCGCTGAAAAATATTCCTGGTAGAAGTGCAAGAAGCAAAAAGAGTTATTGTCTCGATACCTATGGAAGTCGTGCCAGCTCTAACTCGAAAAAGATAGCTTCTATACTTAAAAATTATTTAGTCTAGAAACTAAAAATTAAAATTTTATTAAGAACATATGATTGCAATGTATAAAGACAAAACTACACAAAGTTCTGGCTTAGACTCAGACAGAGGAGACATTATTTGAGCCTCTTTCAGATCCTCCAAAGCTTTCCAACACAAGAGAGCCACTGGAGAATGTTCAGTTTGCACATCAGCCGTTATGTGTGGAACTCTTTAAGGTTTTCAAGTACACTTGAATTGACCTTCATTACAGTGAAATATTTGCCTCCATTATATTATTATTATTATTTTGTAGAAGAAATAAAATAGATGAACAGAGTTGAAGAGAGGGATAAAAAATGATCAATCAATTAAAAAGAAAGTAAAATAAAAATTTGAGATCTAAAAGCAGGATTTTGGGTAAAAAAAACAAACCTTAAAAATGACAGAATGTGTGTCTGTGCAATCCCCTGTTTTTTTCTCCTCATTGCGTCTTTATATGAGAAAGCTTTCCAGAGAACATCCATTAGATGATTATTTGGAGAAGGCTTGTTGATATCTTCAACTGCTTAACCTGATTACTCAATGAACAGATCTGATCAACAAGTAGAAGTTTGAAATTAAAAAAGAAAAAAGAAAAAAAAAAAGGAGAGTTATTTTCTACAAATTTATTGAAACCCTAACTTTGTTTTCAGAGATAAAGAAAATAAGGAGTTTGCAATTGTGGTATAAATGGAGGGATTTAGGTATGACAAATTAAACATACCTACTCTTCCAAACCTCGTGGTCATCCCTATTGCCCACGTATTATGATATGGGGAATGTGAGAAATCTTGAACCATTAGGTTCCTCCATCTCTGGAGCATCTTTCTTCTAATTTGGGACATTCAAATATATAAAGAAATATTAAATTGGAGAGGCATTGCATGGCTTCAATAGATGGCATACTCCTCAGATTATGACAATTTCTAATCACCAGCTCTTTAAGAGAAGTGAGGTTTCCTAACCAGTTTGGTAAAACTTCCACTTCGTTGAATTCTTCTAGAGTCAATGACTCAAGGCCAATGAGATGCTAAAGCTGATGTGGCAAAAACTTTACTTTTTCCCATCCTGCCAACCCTAAATGTTTCAAGGAAGCATGAAGGTGATGGATACAATTGAGTCTTGGGAACTCCTCCAACTCTGAGCAGAAAGGACCCATCTCTAACACAGAAAGGGATTTTAGGGCTTGGAGTGGAAACAGAGGCTTTAGATTTATGCAATAAGAAACGTGAAGTAGTTGAAGAGAAGTAAGGTTTCCCAACCTTTATGGAAAAGCTTCCACTCCGTTGAAATTTGAAAGCGTCAATTGATAAATTAAAAGTAGATCGAGTGTAAAATGGTGTTTATGCAAATAGCAAGAGAGGAACTAAATGACAGCAAATTGAAGAATGAGAAGTACAGTGACTGGAAACTGAAATGACTTTTATTGCTGAATATTGAAAGCAAAACAACTATAACAAGAGAATATGATGAAAAGATGAGAATTTGACACACAGTGCAACTGGTCATTCTCCTTATTTATAGACAGCAAAAATAACAGAGTTTGTTGTAACTCTCTACTGAAAACGTGGCTTCATATCAGATAAAAATCTGGTATGCTCTAGCAGCTCCACTTTATTAGGACTCCACTAACAGTCTTATTTGACTTGGTCTTCAGCAATCTCCCACTTGAAGACACGTTTCTTGAAACAAAACAAACAAAAAAATGAAAACGGAATCAAATTTCTTCAAGTCCAATTGAAGACTTGCACCAATTGAACTTGTCACGGCCCACTGGTTTTGTTAACATATCTGCTGGATTTGAACTTGTGTGAACCTTGTGCAGAAGTATCTTCCCATCTTCAACTAATTGTCGAACAAAATGATAGCGGACATCGATATGCTTTGTGCGAGAGTGAAAAGTTGGATTCTTAGCCAATAACAAAGCACTTTGACTGTCACAATGCATAGAAAACGTGTCCTGCTTAATTTTAAATTCTGCAAGCAACCTCTCCAACCAAATAGCTTCTTTGCAAGCATGAGAGATAGAGATATACTCTGCCTCTGTTGTTGATAAGGCTACAACCAGCTGCAATTTAGACTCCCAGCTAACTGCACCACCTGCCATGATAAAGACATTACCAGAAGTTGATCTTCTTTTATCTCTATCTCTGGCAAAGTCTGCATCAACAAAACCAACACAATCGGGTTCCATTGACCTGTAACACAATGAAACACTTGAAGTGTCCTTTAAATATCTAAGGATCCACTTCACTGCATCCCAATGAACACGACCAGGATTTGCCATGTATTGGCTAACAGCTCCCACTGCTTGTGCAATGTCCGGCCTAGTTCCGACCATAGCAAACATAAGACTCCCTACTGCTGATGAGTATGGTACTCGAGACATCGCTGCCTTCTCTGCTTCAGTGCTGGGTGAGTATTCTGAAGACAACTTAATATGAACAGGAAAGGGGGTACTCATTGGTTTAGCATTCTGCATATTGAAGCGCCACAGAACCCTTTCTATGTAGTTCTTTTGATTCAACCAGATCTTCTTGTCCTCTCTATCTCTAAATACCTTCATCCCAAGAATTTGATTCACGGCTCCCAAGTCCTTCATATCGAATTCCCCAGCAAGTTGAGCTTTTAATGTAGAGACATAAGTGGGATTATTTCCTGCAATGTCATGTCATCTACATACAATAACAAGATACAGAAGCATCCATCATTATAATCACAAAAATAAGCACAATGATCAGCTTCACATCTATGAAATCCCAAGCTCACG